AAAAAATTTAGTATTTTATAACAGAAAAAACAGTAATAAAAATAGTGACAGTGCCCATAATAACCCAACTCCTCAGTACTTATTAATGTCATGAAATCTTTCTTTTTTTCAAAAGATGTAACTTAAGACCAAAATTCAAGAGGTGGAATCCCAATACCACCACCTGCTGAATAAAAACTCTGGACACATTACTTCATCTCTTTTAGTTTCCACTTCCTTGCCTGCAAAATGGAGACAACATAGGGAAATTGAGGGGATCCAGTGAGGTAACATAGGTAATGAATGTGATTAGCAGTTTCTCCAAGTTCATAAGATTTCCGGAGGCAAGCTAATAGTTAACACAGTAAAAACTACTATTAACAACAAATATCTGATATTGTTACGTGCTTTTAAGATTTCTGTTTTTTCACCAAAATTTTAAAAGAGTAAATTTTCAAATGTACCTGTCATAGATTTAATTATGCCCGCTAAGTGCTATGCACCAGAAAGTTGGACAGTGAACAGGGTTGATAGAAAAAGAATTGATGCCTTTGATCTGTGGTGCTGGAGAAGAGTGTTGAATATACCATGGACTGCTAGGAAAACAAACAGGTTTGTCCTGGAGAAGGTGAAGTCGGAATGCTCCTTGGAGTCAAGGATTCTGAAGCTTTGTCTGACATACTTTGGGCATGTTGCAAGGAGGGACTGGTCCTTGGAGAGGGACATCATGTTTGGCAGAGTGGAGGGGCAGCGAAGGAGAGGAAGACCTTCGATGAGATGGATTGATTCTGTGACTAGAGCAGTGGGAATAAGTGCATTTGAGATGGCTAGGTTGGCACAGGATAGAACAGCGTTTAGAGCTCTTATATGGCACATAACAAACAAAAATGTGTTGTATATCTATTGTTAAATCACCTTTATAGGTTTTCTTTATGCTAATGATGCAGCATTAGGATGGAGTGTGTCTTAAATCGATCTCTTTTGAGATATGAAAGAGACTTGATTAAGCAAGTAGCAAGCAGAGCACAGATGAAGGGATATAGACGTCACACCTTGTGAAGATCACCAAGAAACAAAGAGGGACCTTCTCCAAAAGAAAGCCTTCCTCTAGAAACAGTGCCCTCATTTTGGACTTCTATTACCCTCCCAAACAGAGAGAAAATACATTCACTTGTTCAAACCCTGCACTTGGGATACTTCTGTTAAAGCAGTACTAGTAACTAAAATAGTACAGAAATGACATTAACAATTACAGTGCCCTTTCAGAATGCCTCACATGTGCCAAAAGGCCATAAGGGTCCAGTGGTGAAGTAGGAGGAATCAGCCCACCAGCTGCTCTAAGTGAGAAAACTGTGGCAATCCACTTCAGTAGTAAAGAGTTGAGAGCCTTGGAAACCTTATGGGGCAGTTCTGCTTTTCTATAGGGTTACTCTGATTAGGAAGGAATCAACTTCACAGCAAGGGGTCTGAGTAATATGTGGTGAATGAATAGCACCTCTTATCCTATTTTACAGATAAGAATAAATTCAGCTAGATTAATCTGCCCAAGGGAGTATAGTTTACCGACTGCTGATGTGAAGATCTGAACTCAGGCATTCAGTTGAGTAACAGGGAAATTACTCATCCAAACAAAAACATTAATCGTCCTAACAGACATTAAGCATAAAAAGCCATTAAGTACTAGGAGAATAATTTTTTAAAATGTATGCACTTAAAAAACCGAAAAACACTTTTCTAGGAAGATGGTGCCAAAAGCAAAGAAGCAAGCCCCTGCCCCTCCCAAAACTGAAGCCAAAGCAAAGGCATTAAAGGCCAAGAAGGCAGTCCTGAAGGGCATCCACAGCCACAAAAAAGAGAAGATCCACACGTCACCCATCTTGCGGCAGCCTAAGACGCTGAGACTCCAAAGGCAGCCCAATTACCCCCGGAAGAGTGCCCCCAGGAGAAAAAAGCTTAACCACCATGCCATCATCAAATTTCCCCTGACCACTGAGTAAGCTATGAAGAAGATAGAAGATAACAACACACTTGTGTTCATTGTGGATGTTAAGGCCAACAAGCCCCAAATTAAACAAGCTGTAAAGAAGCTCTATGACATTGATGTGGCTAAGGTCAACACTTTGATTAGGCCTGATGGAGAGAAAAAGGCCTATGTTCGACTTGCTCCTGATTATGATGCTTTGGATGTTGCCAACAAAATTGGGATCATCTAAGCTGAGTCCAGCGGGCTAATTATAAATATAAATTTTTCTCACCAAAACAAAACAAAAAAACCCAAAACCAACGCACTTCTATCAAGTAGGTTTCAACTCACAGTGACCCTCCATCAGGTATCTGAAGTATACTACAAAATATTGTAAATATTCATACGAGGAGATAATTCATCTTTCTTTCATCCTGGCTGGTGGATTCAAGCTAATAACCTTTTTAGCCAGCAGCCCAATATGTTATGCAGTAAACCGCCAGGTCTCCTTTTAAAAGTAACTCAAGAAAAATGTCAGCATACAAACCTCAGTAGTCTCTTTAATCTCCAAAAGAAAGGTGTGCAAGTCATCTGATTCTGTTCGAAGTGTCTTCATCTCCTCATATGTGCCAACTTGGGAAGTGGCCTTGGAAGAGCGGGCTTTAAGCTCTTCCAGCTCCTTCTGAAAGTGTGCAATCTGTAGAATCCACAAACAAGGAAACTATTCAATCTGAATGGCAAAGCAACAATCACTGTTCCTGGCATTGATTTTTGAGGCAAGCCAATCTTTAATGCCAGAAATAAAGTGGTCATTAGTAGTCTGCTCTGAGAACCGTTAAGTGTCATGGTCAGAGCTACTTCTGAAAAACATCTGCAGGACACATTTTACCTCTTCCCCGATTCCAGCCATCAAAGGATCCGATTCTTTCCACTGATGTCCCTGCTTTTCTGAAACTGGAGACTGAAGTGGTTTCACCTGAAATGGAAAGGAGAAGGTTTAAAAATGCATGTTAAGAGTCCCAAGTCATGGCTTCTTGAAGCAATGAAATCAGTGCCTGTCAAAGGTAATGGCACTCTCATTACACAGTCAAGGTTCTGTCATTCAATCTTTTGAGCACATTTTTACTGGTATTTACATTCAGTAGATATAACGGTGGGCAACAGCAATGGGTTCTACTCTCGAGCATCTTCTACTGAGGCAAGATGACAAACAGAAAGAAAACTAGTAAGTAGTTTCAGCTAATGATAACTGACATTAAAAAATACAAAGAGAAATCCAAAGAGATAGTCAAGAACTTCTTTGCTCAGAGGGGCATTTGAAACAAGATCTGATGGAGAAAGACACAGAGCTAAAAACAATGGAAAGGGGAGCAATATCCAGGATGTGAGGAGAGCAAAACAAAGCATCTGACATAGGAAAAACCTTTGGCGTGTCCATGCAGACAGTAAATGTGGCTACGGTGAAGTCAAGGAGTGAGCTGGTGAGAACAGGGATACGGACAGAAGGCTAACAGGGATAAGCTGTGCAAGGCCCCAGCAAGGAGTTTAAAATTTATACTAAGTGTGTTGTAGACTAATGGAGTGTAGTTTAAACTATCATGTTTTCTAAAAGATATTTTAAATGCTAGGAAAGACACAGATGACAGGGAGAGGTAGAACAGAAGTGAGCAGACAAGTAAGGAAGGAAGCTGACTAGGTGAGAGATAATGATGGCTTGAAAGGGGAAGAGGTAAGATGTTAGCAGGGAAGACTCAGATATGGGAAGCACTGACAAGACTTTCTGCGAGGCTGGCTGGGGGAAGGTCATGTCTTCTGGAACATGCATGCATATTTGTTGGACATTTAACTAAGAGTGGAACGTCTGAGTTAAAGAGCATGGAAGCATTCCTCTGTAGATTTCTACCAGCAGTGTTCTAAGTGCTCCATAGCCTATGTTTTATGCCTCTGATTTATATTTCCCTGATGAGTAAAACAAACAACTGGCATTTGGTGGCTCGGGTTTTTTTTTAAATTAAGTATTTGTTTGACTCTTTAGCCCATTTTTAATGATTCATGAGGGTTTTAAAATATAGGGCTAGTTTTAATATATTTGAGTAATCTGGATGGATGGATACTTTCTGAACCCTGAACTGTCTTTTCATTCTCTTTGTGGTTTTATGTACATATCAAAAACTTTTTTTCATTTATGATTCCCCCATTTCTTAATGTAAAAAAAGACTCTTTGCTATGTTTTTCTTAAAAAGTTTTATACAGGGGGCCTGAGAGTAGGACAATCACAGGGTCACAGAGTTTGGTGGGTGGAGGGAGGGGGCGAAAGAGAGTAATGTACATAAGTGAAACACAATTTAAAAAAATTCTCTTATTTTACTTTTCATACTTCATCTTATAATTTGAGCATTCAAAGAAATCTAATTCATAACAGCCTAAAAGTGGAAACTACTCAAATAAAGAAGAGTGTGTGCACTGCGGGGAGGGTTGGAAGGGCAGGGGAGAAGAAAATGTGTAACAATGAAAAAGAAATTTAAATAAAAGATTTTTGATGTTAAAAAAAATGTTAAAGTAAGTTCTTAAAATTAAAGGAAAAATATGCCAGATGGAAATTCAGAATAAAGAGTTGCAGAAATGTTAAATACATGAATGTTAAATATGACTAAAGAAAAAAATGAATAATTGTGACAGCCACACAGTTATTAAATTCTATGCATATAAATCTCATAAACTTACAGTTAAGTAAACCCAGTCAGATATAGAAGAGTACACACTGCCTGATTCCACTTAATAGAAGGTGCAAACAGGCTAAATTAATCAATGCTGTTTGAAATTAATGGGGCATTTATTTCTGGTGAGGGTATTGTTAAGAAGGAATACAAGGGGAACCTCTAGGGTCCTGGTGACATTTTATTTCTGGATCTGTAAAATAATTCCCAAAGTGTGTTACCTGGTGACAATTCTTTGAGCTGTATGCTTGCCATGTGTTTGTTTTGGGTTTCTCTTTTTTTCTGTGAGTACTACACATTAGCATAGGGCTGCCCTTTCTGTTAATCTGCGTGTGTTCTGTTGTGCACAAGGGTTTTCAGAGGCCTGCTATTTCAGAAGTGGGTGGCCAATCCTTCTTCCTAGTCTGTCTTGATCTGAATGTTCAGATTTAGAGGAGTATCTGACAGACAGCAATTTGTGGAGCAGTTAAAGATAAATCCCTTATTGTGGGGGTAAGCATTAGTTAAAG